AGGCCCTAGTCATGCCGACTGAGGACCCTGAGGGCCAGAAGGCCGCCGGGCTGCTCCAAGAAGGAGGACCGTTAGTACAGTACTGTGAGAGGCTGAGCCTGAGATACATTAGGCCGTCAAGGCCAACAAAAACCTAAGAATCTCATCCCGAATTGGCAGGCCGGCGGCGGGGGTGCCTGTCACACCTCTGAGCATCATGTGTATGAGTGGCAATACCGTACCGATTGTCCGGTTGGGCAACAATTAAATATTCTTCGACTTGCCCAAAAATCTGAATGTAAAATAAATTCGAATTACAAATCTGCAAGCCATTTTGCCCCGTACGAAAACAAAATAAATTAGTAAAATGAAGCTGCTCAAATTCCATAGCATACGAAATTAATTATTGGGCAAAAATTTGCCCAAGGTGACCGGACAATCGGTACGGTAGTAGATCAGACTGAAAACAGTGAGTATATTGATTGAAGCATGTTACCGGTACCACGAATATGAAAGAGTTCATAAGCTCGAAGTGCCAGATTCTTTAATATTGACATGCTGTAATTGCCCATGGATGGCAAACAAGAGCTGGATGTAATCCGTTTTGCAATTAAGACCATCACAATATATAAGGAAAGTGTCACTCAGTACTGTAAGGTAGCAGTTGGGAACTTGGGAGTCGGGAGCTGGAATCCAATTTCGGGGATGCATAATGCACGGTACGTACCACAGATCCGGACGTACTCCAGAAGATCTACAGTCTATTTATTACAGTAATTTATAAACTCCAGACAGATCAGTGGTCACCTGGCCCCTGGGCCGCTAATGTACAATGTCGATACCTAGCCCTTGCATGGAAGTACCTCCTGACACTGGTCCTGAAGGGCACAGTAGGTAGAGGGTATGTAGAGAGATGGCGCTAGCTGTCTTATGGCAGCCGTTGTCCTGAAGGCTGAAGACTCGATCGGCATTGTTTGAAAGTAATCAAGTGCTGCAAGGTGAGCTGGTCAGCCAATGCATTAGTTGCAATCTGGCAAAAAACTGACTTTTTCTTGAGCTTTTTGTTGGCACCTCTGCAATGCTCTCCTATTGCTCTTGCCATCTGACCATCTGACCATCTGCCTCCATAGTGTCATAATGCAAGGCCTTCTAAGCAGGTGATGAGACCAGTGAGAAATGTTGAGCACTGCTCAAATTTATATGAAGTATTAACTGGAAACTTGCTGATTGTTCTGC